ACAAACATGAGGAAGCCATGGTGTCTGCTCTGACTTAACATGTTTCCAAATCAGTTGATGAGATTCTCTCCATGCTCAGCCGGCAAAGGCAGGGCTCACTGCCCTTCCATGCCCCACGCTTCCTCTTCTTTCCATTCTGCCACAGATGATGCTGGCTGCCAAGGGGAGGCGAGAATTCCCAGCAGGGACATAGAACATCATCTTCGCACCACTGTTTTTGCCAACCTGCTTGCTCCATTCTCAGAATCATTAAGCACACACGTGACTTTCTTGAACTTCAAATATTTGCTGTGCTAACATGCCTTTGCGTGTGTGTTGGGAGAGAGCAAGTTATTTACCAAATGATAACTTAACAGGATTCAGGAGTCACACAACACTATACTAGCCGTGAATTACTCTCAAGATACAAGAATTTGGAGGAGTATGGGTGTGGTGAGAATCCATGCCTCTGGGTTTACTTCTGGAACTTTTTTTTTTAAATAGCATTCTAGGCTAACAACACTGCAAGTCCATGTGCCTGCCAATGAATGAACCATCATTCAAATTTTCATGCTGTATTCTTCTTCAATGAGTAGTTCATATCTTTTTCTCTACAATTTCACTGTTGGGTTGCTCCCTAGGTTGTAGAGCTGGTGGGTGACCATTCACAGGACTTATGTAAAGGGTGTGTGTGTGTGTGTGTGTGTGTGTGTGTGTGTGAGAGAGAGGGGGGGGGATCTATGGCTCTTTTGTTACTTTATTTTATGCATATGACCTTAGAAGGCAGAAGAGTGCGTTGGATCCTCTGGGACTGGAGTTACAAATTGTTCTGTGAACACCATATGAGTGTTGGGAATCAAACCCAGGTCCTCCTCTGGAAAAGCAGCCAGTGCTCTTAACCACTGGCTTAATTTAAAGAAGCCCCGAGTCTTGTCAACACACTAAAATGTAGGCTAAAATTTTAGGTTGCAGATAAGTCCTTCATTTACATATTAAATATTGACTGTTATATAGTTTGTAGTTTATGAATGTTTACATACACAGAAAATGCTGCCCTCCATGTAAGTGTCCCAGCCAGGCGTGGACAGTGAGCCTGCAGTCCCATCGTTGGGAGGCTCAGGCAGGAGGATTGCACCCAACCAACGCTGCTAGGCCCTTTCTCAAAAATCAGAAACCAAGACAACGATCCAAAAATTTGAGGCTTATTAACACACATGTGGTCCTTTCCATCAAGCCCAGCAGATAAAGCAGTCGCAGGGCCTTTCATGGAGTCCCAGAGAACAGGAGTTATTGGAGATCCGGATGTAAATGGTGAGCACTGAGATCCTGAGCCCAGAATCAGCAGAAGGGTAGACTTATTAAGACATTTTTGGAAATTCTTGACTGCTGTGCTCAACACAAACATCTCTTGCCTTTGTTTTTTTGGAAACGCCACCTTGATAAGGGTGATGTGAGGCCAGTTCACTCAAGGTGTTATTACGTCATTCCTTTAAAGTTGTGTTTGGGATTGTTCAGGACTTCGTAACATAGCAATAATGTGAAGAACACTTTTCCTTTTATGAAAAGAAAGAAATCAGAGAAGTTTCTCCCTGTCTTTTCTGAAACTAGAAGACCTTCTGTGGTCTGATAAGTCTTTTTCTCCTTTCACAACTTTCTTAATTACAGCTGACATTGGTTCATGTCAGGGTTCCCCAGTTCAAGTCTGCACACCCAGCAAGCACTTCCTGGGGCCCATGCTGTCAGGTGTGTCTCAGTGTGCAGCAGTGTGAAGTGAATCAAGGGCTGAGACACTTCCATCTACTTCTTAGCCCCATCGTTCTCAGGAGTCAGAAAAGAAATATCCTGAAAATGGCTCCAGAGACATCTCCGGACAGGATTTGATCCAAACCCACCCAGATACGCTGTCCTGGGCAGTCCTATGAAGCATTCCCTAAGTTGCTCTGCTTTTTGTGGTCAGGGATTTCTCTTTCTTTCCAAATTCACTTTTGGTTAGTTATATATAAGTGGTTGTTTTACACATTTAATTTAAACGTTTCTTGTGGGCACTTAAAGTGAACTGTTAGCCTGCAGCCACAGGATTAGCAGAGGGAGGGTTTACAGCTCCGCCTGTGTGGAATCTGTTGGCTCTTATTTGGGGACTTTTTATTCCATTCAGTCCTGGCTAAAATGTAATCATCCAATGGTTAATTCCAAAACTCATAGAAAACCAAGAGAAGAAAAAAGTAGAGAAGATTCTTTTCTATTAAAAAAAAAAAACCAGTTGAAATGGGACCCATTTGACTCGGGAGCTATGATCTGCTGTCTGCACGCATTCTAAACAACTAATTTTACAGAACTCTCAGTAAGCATAGGGCTTGTTCAAAATCGTCAGCACCCCCCTTTCCTTGGCAGCTGGCACAGCTCAAGCCCCAGCTGGTCTAGTGTTTCTGGTTCTTTGTGTCCCTGCTGTGGCCTGGCCTCAGTGACCAGTCAGGGAGTGGTACATTTTGTGACCCAGCTGGAAAGTTGTGGCTGTCCCTCCATGCTCCCTTAAGGTCTGTATTCTCGTCAGAACAACCTCTGCAGTCTCCCGTGGAGCACTGCGAACACACACCGGCCTTTCCTTGCCTCCTTATTAGCTAGTGGGAAGACCTGAAATGCAGTGAACCAGGGCTCTACTCGACAGCAGGAGCCACCCTCTCCGTTTGCAATGCTGCTGCGTTAACCCATCCACGGAGATCTGAAACTACTCAAACGGATGCTCTCTCACCATTCCTCCGCCTGCCCGTCATCCAAGAGTGCTTTCTTGATGTTGGCCCCTTTCGGATCCTTTCATCTATACCAATTCTCCGTCTGAGATTTCTTGTTAACTCAGAGAGAAAATGTGTTGAAACCCAGAGCAAACAGCATCTAAGACCAGAACACCGGACTTCGGTGTGATCTGTGGACTCTAGACTCCTCCCCCACTTACAGGGTTTCTTTAAAACAACTGGAGTCTGATACATTCAGACAGGTTTTAGGGAACTAACATCACTTTCCCACAGACTCCTCTAGTCGAGCAGGCATAGGAAATGCCCTTGGACGGCTAGGCTCAAGGATGTGATAGAGGAAATGGGTGAGGTTAGGACTTAGATACTTCTGGGGTTACAGATGGCTTAGAGTGAGGAGAAAGTAATCAGAATGTTTATAGTCCAATAAAGGAGAAAATCTCTTTTGGAAGACTGCAAGTGAGTCTAAATCCCTGTGATTTTTGTTTTGCTCATGTCTCTATGTTTGCCTGGCTATCTGTCTGTGTTATTTTTTGCCTTTGTGGTAGTAAATTGACTTAGACATAAATGAGGACTCATATGAAGTTGCAAATGCTTTTCAGCAAGGCTTGTCTAATATTGTCAGTTTAATAAACAAAGCTGTGCTTTCTGATCAACAAAAAGCTTGCGTGAAGACTGCCTGACAGTACATGGAAACAACTCGGGGTGATAGCTGCCTTTATTTGATGTCTCAGAGTTTCCTTTGTAGAGGAGAAAATGGGTTATGTCTTGTAAAGGAAGGTAGGAAATATAAGACTGTGTTGTGGGGGGAGAAAGGTAACCAAGTCTAAGTGTTTGACTGATTTGAGAAAGCTATAGAAGGGTTTTGGAAAAGCATGAGTCTTGAGTACGACTTGATACCTGAACAAGTGAGCAAAAATGATTTCTAGGCGTTTCCGGAGACCGAGCGTTGACAGTGAAGGTAGACTGTGTAAGACTGAAGCTGATTCCTGTGTTTAAGTCATTCTTGAATCACTGATCTGTTCCTAATGAGACATTTCAAAAGGATTCATTTTCTTTCTTTTTCTTTTCTGTTTGTTTTTTTCTTGAGACAGTGTATGCCTACAGAGTCCTGGATGTTCTGGAACTCACTCCATATACCAGGCTGACCTCAAACTCACAGATCTGTCTGCCTCGACTTCTGATCTTGTGGGGCATTCATCAGAGAAGACTGCTCAGATGTTGATTTAAGCTAATAGCAAGTCTTTATCAGTCAGCCAGTGACTACCCTGGGTGTTCGGGATCCAACTTTCTCAGGATGAGCTTTGAAGCATAAGACTCATGTTGACATACTTCAGTTAACAAAGACAGTTAGCCAAAAGCAGATCTAAGAAGCTAAAAAGCAAGATGGGTACATTTAGAGAATTGCCCAGAACTATATGGACTTTGATGAATTAGGTCTTTGATTTAGTTTTGGCAGGTGGTCTGTCTATAGGCAGAATCTCATAGCCTGAATGCCATTTCCATCATGAAACCAATTGTGCTAGGGTCTCAGGGCCTGCTAAGGGCTGGGGCCCTGCTACACTGAGTGCTGGGTTCAAAGGCACATACCATCATGCCTAATGATTTTTTCTTTGTTTTGTCACTGCTCTGGTTTTTTTTTTCCCCTAGGGTCTAAAAATAGTTTTGGGATTTGGGTTTTTAGATAGCCCCTGGGAGCCCAAAGGACACATGTCAACTTACCATTGTTAAAAAACAGAATGAATCAGCAGAAACAGCAAATCCCCAAAACAATATGGATGTTTCATTATTACTTAGGATTTTCCATTCTGAACTTTGTCTAATGCTGGCCCAGGGCTTTGGGTGACACCTGTCACCCACAGTACTGAAGAACTGCATGCTGGATTGTCTCCAGGTAAAGGTTACCCAGAACTAGTCCTTCTAACCCCTTTGTTGTTCCAATGTTAGCCACACTTTAGCCAAAGGAGCCTAACACAGTCTGGCCTTGATCAACCGTTTTCCTTTCACCTTTGGGACCAGATCAGATCAATAACTGGCACAGGTCCGTCCTGGTAATTTAGGACAGTTGTAGTGAGGGACTGCGGGCAGGCCTGCTTTTCGCCTCACCCGGCTCCCGCACGGCTAGCTTAGCCCCAGAAATAATAACACATAAGTTGTATTCATCTAAATACTGCCTGGCCCATTATCTCTAGAGAGTTAGTTACTGGCTAACTCTCACATCTTGATTAACCCATTTCTAATAATCTAGTGTAGCACCACGAGGTGGTGGCTTACCGGAAAAGATTCAACATGTCTGACCTGGTGGCTGGCTCCATGGCGTCTGGCTCATAGCCCTCTTCCCAGCATTTTGTTCTGTTTACTCCGCCGACCTAATTTTCTGTCCTATCAAGGGGCCAAGGCAGTCTCTTTATTGACCAATGAAAATAACACAATAGACAGATAACCCTCCTCCATCAGACAGTCAAAACCTATTCACAAGGGGGTGATTAGTGGTAGGCAGAAGCAGAGCCTAGAAATGTGGTCAGAATGAAGTTGTGTGTGACAATGGTAACAAGGGAGTAAAGAAGGTAGCGAGGTTGTGGACGAAAACTTATGTCTAATAGACTTTAAAACATTTCCTTTGCCCATGAAGTTCCTGTCTGTCTGGTTGCTCTTGACCATGGGAACACTTTTGGGAGAAGTAGAAACTCAGCAAGACAAGGTTTTCCCCAAAGCTGTGTGGTTATTGGATGAGAGGAGCCCCATACAATCGGTTTGGTTGGCTACTTTTTGTTCATTGCCTCACCACATGGAAGTTCCTGAGAGAACAACTTAGAGCAAAGATTTCTTATTTTTTAATTGTTTTTATTGTGCTATATACTTTTCGCCGCTCCCCTCCCTTCCTTTTTTCTCCCTTCCTACCTGCTCCCATGGTTCCTATGCTCCCAATTTACTCAGGAGATTTTTGTATCTTTCTACTTTCCATGTAGATTAGATCCATGTGTGTCTCTCTTAGGATTCTCTTTGTGGTCTAGGTTCTCTGGGATTGTGAATTATAGGCTGGTTTTTCTTTGCTTTATGTATAAAAGCCACTTATGAGTCAGTACATATAATATTTGTCTTTCTGGGTCTGGGTTACCTCACTCAATATGATGTTTTCTAGATCCATCCATTTGCCCACAAATTTCAAGATGTCATTGTTGTTTTCTGTTGTGTAGTACTCCATTATGTAAATGTACCACATTTTCCTTATCCATTCTTCAGTTGAGGGACATTTAGGTTGTTTCCAGGTTCTGGTTATGACAAGAAATGTTGCTATGAACATAGTTGAGCACATGTCCTTGTGGTACGATCAAGCATCCTTTGGATATATACCCAAAAGTGGCATTGCTGGGTGGTGTGGGAAGTCCTTCTGTCTATGTTGGTGAAGATCTTTTCCCATTCTGTAGGCTGCCATTTTGTCTTGTTGACCATGTCCTTTGCTTTACAGAAGTTTCTCAGTTTCAGGAGATCCCACTTATTAAATGTTTTTCTCAGTGTCTGTGCTGCTGGGGTTCTATTTAACAAGTGGTCTCCTGTGCCAATGCGTTCAAGTGTACTTCCCATTTTCTCTCCTGTGAGGTTCAGTGTGGTTGGCTTTATGTTGAGGTCTTTGATCCATTTAGACTTGGGTTTGTGCATGGGGATGGATATGGGTCTATTTTCATTCTACTACATGTTGATATCCAGTCATGCCAGCACCTTTTGTTGAAAATGCTTTCTTTTTTTCAGTTTTATATTTTTTACTTCTTTGTCAAAAATCAGGTGTTCATAGGTGTGTGGATTGATATCTGGGTCTTCAATTCAGTTCCATTGGTCCTCCTGTCTGTTTTTATGCCAATACCAGGCTGTTTTCAGTACTGTAGCTCTGTAGTAGAGTTTGAAGCTAGGGACTGTGATGCCTCCAGAAGTTTCTTTATTGTTCAGGATTGTTTTGGCTATTCTGGGTTTTCTTTTCCATGTGAAAAGTATTGAGTATTGTTCTTTTGAGGTCTGTGAAGAATTTTGCTTGGCATTGTATTGAGTCTGTAGATTGCTTTTGGTAAGATTGCCATGTTTACCATGTTAATTCTATCTACCCAAGAGCATGGGAGATCTTTCCATTTTCTGGTGTCTTCAATTTCTTTCTTCAACAAGATCTAAAGTTCTTGTCATACAAGAACTTTATGCTATTTATGGCTATTGTGAAGGGTGTTGATTCTCTGATTTCTTCCCCAGCCCTTTTATCATCTGTGTAAAGGAGGGCTACTGATTTTTTTCGAGTTAATCTTGTATTCTGCTACATTGCTGAAGGTGTTGATGAGTTGTAGAAGTTCCTTGGTAGAATTTTTTTGGGTTCCTTATATAAACTGTCATATCATCAGCAAATAGTGAGAGTTTGACTTCTTCTTTTCTGATTTTTATCCCCTTGATTTCCTTTTGTTGTCTTATTGCTAGCTAGACCCTCTAATACCATATTGAATAGATATGGAGAGCTTGTCTTGTTCCTGATTTCAATGGGATTGCTGGGGGTTTCTCTCCATTTTGTTTGGTGTTGGCTGTTGGTTTGTTGTATATTGCCTTTATTATGTTTAGGTGTGTTTCTTGTATCCCTTCTCTCTCCAAGACCTTTATCAAGAAGGGATTTTGCATTTTGTGGAAGGCTTTTTCAGCATCTAATGAGATGATCATGTGGTTTTTTTTCAGTTTGTTTATATGATGGATTACATTGGCAGATTTTCATATGTTGAACTATCCCTGCATCTCTGGGATGAAGCTGACTTGATCATGGTGGATGATTTTTCTGATGTGTTCTTGGATTTGGTTTGCCTGTATTTTATTGAGTATTTTTGCATCAATATCCATGAGGGAGATTGGTCTGTAATTCTCTTTTTTAGTAATGTCTTTGTGTGGTTTGGGTATCAGGGTAATTGTAACCTCATAAAAAGAGTTTGCCAATGTTCCTTCTGTTTCTATTGTGTGGAACAATTTGAGCAGTATTGGTATTAGTTCTTCTTTGAAAATCTTGTAGAATTCTGTTCTGAAACCATCAGACCCTGGGCTTTTCTTTTGGTTGGGAGACTTTTGATGACTGCTTCTATTTCTTTAGAAATATGGGTCTATTTCATTGAGCAACAATTTCTTTAGGCTTGTGCTTGGTACTATGTGAATGAGCATTGTGGTGTGGAGCATGTGGCATGGAAGAGAAGAGGAAAGGTCTGAGGACTAGGACTAAGGCACACCCCGGATGCTCTACTTCTTCCTATGGGCCCCAATTCCTAGTGGTTCCAGATGTTCCTGTTATGGGGGGTTCCTGTGTGAAAGGCGGTTGTCTGCGGAGGGTGGGGGGAACTGCTGAGTTTGTTCTCTGGGAAGAACAAAGAATTGTACATCCTGGAAAGAAGACCCATGCAGAGGAACTGAAAGTGACAGGAAACTGAAATGACGGTTGGAGACCTTGGGGTGGGTGGGGCTGGGGGCTGGGGGTGGATGGGGCTGAGGGTTGGGGGTGGGTGGGACTGGGGGCTGGGGGTGGGTGGGGCTGGGGACTGGGGATGGGTGGGGAGGAGTGCAAATATAGTAAAGACAAGTGCACACACACACACACACACACAGAGGTGGGGACAGCAAGCACAAACTGACAAGCTTTATTTAGAACACATAGCTTCCTACCAAGGGCATGGGAGAGGTCCTGGGAGTGGGAGTCTGCCTTCGGGCTCTGGGTTAGATTTTTTAGAGGCTTCTGGAACCCTCCCCTTCCCAGTCCCCCTTTCTTCCTCATTGATCTGTCCTGCTCACAAGTTTCTTGCACTGTTACAGACTTCTGTCTCTGTGTCTGTCTGTCTGTCTGTCTGCCACCTGTGTAGTTAACTTCCAGTTTTGTGCCCTCACACCTCCCCCAAATGTCCTCAAGGAGACAAATCTGAAACCTGGGCCTCCCGTTGCTTCATTGTTGAATAAGCTCGGTCTTTTGCCAAACGTATTGATTCCGTGGTTGGCACCCGTGTGGCTAGCAAATGGGTCTGGCTAGGTCCATTATACACAAAGCCCAGTTTCCCCATGGTTGGTGGAAACAGTAAGACTGGGACCATCCAGCATTTAGGTGTGTCAGGCGGCACAGTAGATGCTTTGCATTCTGCTCGTTTATTGCTTTTAAAGACACCATGCGGTATGCTATTTGCTGAGTTCACACTGGTGCTTGAGGATGGAACTTGACTTGTAATTTTAAAGCTAATGATTTTCCTGCTGTCAAAGGATCGGCTGAATCAGCCCATGGGTTAGATACCCATCAGGTCATTGTCTGCAATCCCCTTTCTTGTAGCAAGCTTTCTTGTCAGACTCTTTGTACTTCTGGCCCATAAGCAATGACCTGGAGACTTATTATTACTTATGAAAGCTTGGCCTTGGCTTAGGCTTTTCCCCAACTAGCTCTCGCAACTTAGTCAACCTGCTTTCATTAAATCTACATTTTACCATGTGGCTCAGTTACATCATCTTAGTACAGCAATCTGACTTGCTCTGAGTCTGCTGGTGAAATTCCATGCCTAGATTCCTCCTCCCAGTTTCTTTTTCTGCCCCAAAGGCCTACCTATTTTCTCCTGTAACATGAGGGCCGGGGTTGGGGTTTCTGTCCCGCCCAGTACCCCATAGCCAGCAAGTCCCAAAGAAAATCTCACAGAGTCTACATTAGGTTATAAACTGATTGTCCCATTAGGTCAGGCTCCTTATTAGTCCTTGTAACTTATATTAACTCATTATCATTACCTTTGTTAGCCACACGGCTCAGTACCTTTCTCAGCATGGCAGCTCACATGTTGCCTCTTCGGTGATCTGGGCAGGAGTGGAAGCTTCCTGCTTCCCAGGATACTCCCAGTCTCTTTGCTCCACCCCTACTTCCTGTCTGGCTTTTCCGCCTATACTGACTGCCTGGCCAATCAGCGTTTTATTAAAATATGATTGACAGAATACAGACAATTCTCCCACACCATTCTCCTGCCTTGCTGTTGGCCATTTAGCTCTTTACTAAGCCAATCAGAAGGCACCTTAGGCAGAGACACATCTTTACAATGTAAGCAGATATTCCACAGCACTTCTCTGAGCTACTTCTTCCTCTGCTCACCCCCAGAACTGCGACCAGCGTCATCACATCTCTACAAGGCTGGCCGGCTGGTCGTAACCATGCCCTCTGCAGCATTTGTTACTCTAGGGCATTTGTAGATTCAGGAGTCCTACCCCTTAAGTTTTGGTTTGAGGAAAAGAATCAGAGCCAGGCTTTTTGAGTGGTACATTGATATGGGCTATATAGATCTTTGAAGCA